AAGATTTAATAATATTAGACTTTAACAATATTGTAATTTTTAATTTCAATAAAGATATTATTAATAAACACCTACAGAACATAATATAATTGTTTCAATAACATTACAACAAAATTCTCTCCAAAATACGATAATACGTTTCCCGAAGATTTTTTTCACGCTGAACACGATGCCGTTGGTAGAATTTGCTTAGCATACCAGGATTTTGAGTAAATTTAAATGAAAGAGGCCAAAATGATGTTTTTGGCCACTTTAACATTTTTTGCGACAAAAAGGAAACTAATTTCTAAATAAATTCAGCGGCATCTGAAAGTATAATTCAAGAGCTTTCAGACAAACTTTGGTTCATGACCGTACGACTTTTTTTCATAAAGTTATGACTATTTAAATTTTATACTAGACAAATTCGATCAACGGCATCATTCAACACAAAAAAATCTTCAGGAAACGTATTAACGCACTTCAAAGAGAAAAAGTTTTTTTTGTCAAACTGTATAATACTTTCTCTCGATATTAAAAAAAAAAAATTATATCAAGAAGATGGAAATGTTATTTTTACCCTCCATGTACGTCAAACTTTTGTTATACATCTTCCACTAACATGAACATAATTAAAAAAGTATTTCTTTCTGACAATGTAGCAATATTGATAAAATTGTAATATTTTAATTATGAATTTATTATTATAAATTAATATTAACATTTTTGGAATAAGACAAGAAATTATTATTATAAAAACTTTAATAATTTACTTTAATAATATAAATAACTTATTCTAAAAGTAAAGTCTAATCAAATAGAAATAATTTAATTTTAATTTAAAAATGTTCTAAATTCTCTCTCTTTGAAGATATTGTTATTTTCTATCTAATATTTTTTCCTCTCGATTCGTGAAAATTGAAGGGCTTGCTGCAACAGTGAGCTAACCCATATTTAGTAAGAAAGTAGAAAATAAATTTTAAAGTTAAAGTGATAAACTTTCGAGTTATTTTCTCCGTTTTTATAAAATGTTATAAAATGTGAATTAGTCCACTGCAGCAAACCTTTCGTTTATTAATAAAAATATATTTTCGATAATACTACAAAAAAAATATCTTCATACAAGCAAGTTACATCATCCACATTTAATGTTCTGTTTTATTTCAATATTTAAAAATAAAAATAGGTAATTCCGAAACAAGAATACTGTTTGCTTGCCTTATAGGCTGTAACACAGACTTCTCTTACTGTTTCAATTTTTTAATAGAGAGCTGTAGCAAAGATTCATTAATTTTTATTACACGATTGCTTTTTAAAGACCGACCATCCAGTATTATTTCGTATGTTCGCGCACGGATCCGAGGACGAATCTAATGGTTGATTTTAATGATGGTCCTTATTGTTAAATTGTGACAGAGAGGAAATTAGTGGCGCGGCCGTAATGAACGCGTTTCCGTTGCGCTCCGTAAAATGAAATTATTAAGACGCAGCAGCAGACGGCACTTCATCCTCGTTCCAGCTGTACTTTCAATTTCCTTTCAATCGCATCGACGAAGGCCAGACACGCGAACTTCCAGCCGCACTCCGCACCACGCAAAGTGCCTCAGCTTTAAACGCGACGAACAAAGAGCATCCAATCTCTCGATATCCACGAGTTTCAAGCGCCTGCAGAGAGTTATTGACTTATATATAACTAATCTTGTTTTATTAACTTTATAATTTATAACTTATTAATTTATAAAATCAATCTCACAGTTACGTTTTAGCAAATTCATAACACGTTTCCGCAATCACATATAAAATTATTTAAATTCTTGAGAACCAAATCTAATCCTTTTACGTAAAATATTTAGATATAACTCTTTAAACATTCTTGAGAAATTACAGAGTTTCTCCTCAAAATGTCAAATTGACAAAATTAAATAAAATTGATCGATTAGAAAGAAATATCTTGATAACAACGTTTGCACAGAAAAAACGATTTTATTATCTTATAATAACTTAACTAGATACCGATCAGAAAAGAATTATGTGGGACGTTCAAGCTAGTTGTAAAAATGTCAAAATTTTTTACAGTAGATTACAACGGGGTAATTTGAATAATTTCAACAATTTTTGACCTTTTTGAACAATTTCTCGAAAAGTAATAATTTTATCCTTAAATTGAATATGTAGCAGAAAACTTACAACAGAACTTTAAAGAATACTCGCCCAATATATAAAAAATTATTCTTTAAATCTTGAGACGCAACGTCATTATCCGATTTACCCCTACAATTTTAACAAAAATCAATTTTGAAGGATAATTTGAATAACATTGAAAATAAACATTAATATTACAATAAAAACCAAATCTTAAATTTAAATATTTTTTTAAACATTTTATTATATTTTCCAGATCAAATTAAACACAAATTAGAAAAACATAAAATAATCATGTTAGTCCCAATATTTTAAGTACGACAAACATAAATGAACTTTTTAACATTGATATTATAATAAAAGCAAAACTTTATATTTATCTATTATGTTTTAAATATTAAATTGTACTTTTCAGACAAAATTAAACAGAAATTAGAGAACCTCTGACTTCGAGATATTTAACTCTTTCTAAAGTTTTCTGAAACGCTACTAAACACAGCCGGATGCCCAATAGAAGTTCTAGGAACTTCATTTTCATCATATTTGTTTTTGTTTAGATTGTACTTTTCTGTATGGAACATGAAATAGTTGTGCAGCTCCTAAAACCGAGATCACACCATCAATGACAGCTGTAACGGCTTGTTCCAACGGCTTGCTCTCTTTGCTATAATTCAATCGAGCATTCTTCTTTTTATAATGTTGGACCAGACCCCGTTTAGCCCCGGACACCAGGTCCATATCACTCCTCGGAATCCCTCTCCACCATCGGGTGTTCTAATTTGGCAGGAATACTCTCGGTGGTTTTGCCTTGTCTTACCGAGAGGTGGCGATCGCTTTCCAGAGATCGTGTTCCGAATTGCTAAATGCCGTAGAGCATTGGCAGCGCATTTCAGAACACCGTAGTTCTGGGTGAAACCTGGATCCTCGGCACAGTAAGCTGTCACGCAGCGCCCTGCGCCACGATCGCCACTTTTTAGATCTATATATTATAACTAAATTTTTAGATACTTTAGCAAAACCGTTCTTTCCGTATGCGATAAAGTTTTATTTCTGACTTTCCGGAAGAGCCGCGTGATTTCCGGGCACATTTACGAATCATCGTGCGATGGCAAACTTCGATCGAAGAACTTCCTGCCTTTGGCTTCACGAACAGCTGGTGGATGGGCAACGGTGATAAAGACGTCGAAACCGCGTCAACGTGTTCGTCATCGTAAAGAGCTCGGCCGCGCCAATCGTCAGCCGATAAACCGCTGCGCGCGTCCTCGGCGTAAAATCACCCGTCAGTCTTTCGCCAGAAGCGACGACCGTTCCGCCGCGCCAGATGCGGTAGCATCTTTGCTAGAACGGGCGAAGGAGGGAACGAGAGGGAAAGTCGCGGCGGGATGATCCGTTAGACGAGTAATCCCTCGACCGGCCGCATCTCATAACACGTTGCTGCCGCCGCCGTCGTCTCATATTGGTGCCAAAATCCGAAGGACGCGCACAAAATCGCAATATGCCAGATTTATCCACGGTCAGGGTCACACCCGAAAGAAGCCAGACAAATCGCGTGCGATCGAGGCAAAGCCTCCATGCGTTATCGCGCGAGATCGTATGAAAAGTATGTCAAATTATAGAAAGATAAATATTTTCATATTGTACCAAATACCGCCGGTGCAGTGAAATGTTTATTCAGAATCGATGGAGCGCTTATCTTGTTGAGCCCACGACATGCCAGATTTAGCCAGATTTTACTCATCTTGACAGAATTTTAATCTCAAGATTCAAATGTGTGAGATATTGAGTATTAAAAGACTTTTTATCTTCGGAAGCCTAATAAACAATTTTTATAGTACTGAGATTTTTTATTTTTTAATTATTTGTAACTTATTACATTTCTCTAATAAATACGTTACAGATACATTAATTTTCTATATTATCGTTTTAATTAGCCTTGAGTTTTTATTATTGTTGGTTAATAAAAAAGGCTATTTTCAGAAATTTTTTTACAATATTTTTGCGACGGATTTTCGTAGAATTTTATTTATTGTACATACATGAAATTATTTTCAGCAAAAATTTGGTATAGATATTTTCATTAATTTTAAAGTTATTAGTATTCCAATAGGAAAAATACGAAATATATAATATTTCGGCTTGAATGATCTGAAACAAATCCCAAGAAAATTTTCAATTTTAATAGTTGAAGCCAGGCATAAATCTTGAATTTCCAAAAATTCCAAAAATTTAATCTATTTTTTGCTCTATTAAAGATTAATTTTTATGCAAAAATAACTTTTAACTTTAAACTGACGTTATTTTGTTATTTTTCACTTTTTCTTCTATTTTTCCGAGAATATATCAACTATTTATAAATGAAAATTTTTGCTTTAAAATTTAGATTATCCAGAGTCGAGATGTATCATGTACACCGCGTTTTTGTAGTGTCTTGTTTAAACACTAATAACTTTAAAATTAATAATAAATTAAACATACCAAATTTTTGCTGAAAAATAGTTCATATACATGTAACAAATCTACAAAAACCTGTAAAAATCCGTAGCATAGATTAAAAAAAAAATCCCGAAATAGCCTAATTAAGTTTCCAAAAGTGAAAAGCTCCTTAAAGATTCATCTATCCCAAACAAACTAAAATATAATAAAAGAAATTTAAATTGTACATGCTATATATAAATTTCCTTCGCCACTCCAGGCTCTATTTGTTAACACAACTCAACGCAGATGGTTGAAGCGACCAGGTAGAAGGGCTTAAACTTTCTACCGCGAGTCCTCGCGAAGATCAAGCGCCATCGACCTTCTTCAGCCCCGGGTACCGAGTACTCTCAGCGTGTAGACGCACTCGAGGTCGACCTTCGACAAATTCTATTCTACAAACCTACCTTGTTGACTTCCTTCTCGATGAGCTTGTACTTCTTGCTGCGTGCGAGCTTCTCACGGCTGTCCGCATTCGCCACCTCGAGCTTGTTGCGTTGCTGCTCGGCGACACGGAGCTTCGTTTCTGCCTGTCTGGACTCGGCCTGATAGGCCTGATAGGTCTTCATGGTCGTGTGCAGCTCGTGCAGCACCCGAAGTATCTCCTCGTGCGTCTCGTAGCCGATCTCGCGACACTGCAGCAAGAAACGCCGAAAAGATGTAATCGCGAATGAAAACAGCGCAAAGAGTATAATCTCTCAGCAACGTGAAATTAATTAATGGGTGTTTTCCATTTAATAATAGAAGTCGACACAAATGTCATTCTATCCTTCTTGGCATTCAATGAGTAATAAAGATACAACGATACTTGTGTCGACTTATGTCACTAAATAAAAAGCACCCAATATGAATTAGCTGCAACAGAGGCGACATTTCCTCTTCCGAAAAAATTTACAGTTGTATAAAAAAACGTGTGTAAATAAATTTAGACATACATATAATAAGCGCGCAATGAAAGATTTATACACGAGAATTACAAAAGTAAAAACAAGGATGTCTGTAATTATACACTCATAAAAAAACAACTATAAAGATTACAACTATATAAGTTTTATATGTAGAATTAATGTAACATAGTTGAATAAACTATCTCACAGTTATTGCAGTTGTAAAATAATGTATAACTCGATAAAGGTGAGGACTATACAAGTTTTATATATACATAAAATTTATATATAGTTGAATAAACTATTTTATAGTTGTTATAACTACACTGGAAAAAGAATCTGGTTGCATTAACTGGAAATCTGATTCAATCAATATATCTGTTCAAAAATCAGTAAATCAAAATTCTTGTAGGATTTACTTATTGTTAGATAAACTATTTAATTATTATGTCTATTCGAAAATCGATGAATCAGAATTTTTGTAGGATTTGCCTAGCAGATGAGTATGATTAATTCCTTCCTGTTAAATATATTATACTGTCTTATTGATATATCAATTAGAATACGCTACGTTCAACGTTAACCAGAATTCTGATCGCATGTTTCTTTTAATTAAAAATTTTATAGATTCACCTGGAAAATATTAACTAAATTCTTATAATAAAATGTATCAAATGTTTTAATTGTAAAATATTGAGTCAAAATAAAATACCTTATCACAATAACTAGAAATTCTGCTAGTTGCACAAAATACATTCTACCACATGACACATACACATGTCATGTTAGTACAATTAAAACATTTTTCTCAGTGTATAAAATAGTTTATTTAACTACATAGTTATATATTGCAACTATAAAAAGTTTATTCAACTATGTAGGATAATTCCGGTATATACGCCGCATCTATTAAAAACTTAATTTATCAGATATTATTAATTATGGTTAAGGTAAATAAACTATACCAGTAAAAACTTTAGACTGTTTACTACTATAGAAAAAAATATTAGAAATCCAAAATATTTATTTTTTATATTAAAAAAAGAATTTTTTAAACCCTTGCATTTTTGTCGTATAAAAATATGCGTTATACGGCTACTCACGGGTGAAATGAATGACTGAAAAAATATACAAATAATCTAAAAAAACACTTGTATTTTGCTGTACTCTATCCTTTATAATTCCTCTACACTGTACCATGAAATAATCACGAAGTCTTTTATATTTCCTACAATAATCATTTTATATAGATTGTAGATTATAACTTATGGTTGCGCTACTTATTACAGTGATAAATTGATTTAACTTACAATAATTTTATAAATATTAACAGTAAAAAACTGAAATCATAACACAATACTAATATAACATAAAAGTATGTATAACATAACATAAAAGTGATTGCGAGAAAATTACTTTCACTTTTTTATTTTTTCTGACTTCTGCGGCATAAATTCTCGCGCGGCGTATGTAACGAAGTTACCCTACATTAATTTTAAGTAAAACTTATATGTACAGTTGTCATCGCATGTTTTTCTCTGAGTGTGAAGGATCGTGCAAGACTACGTCGAGAATTTCGTCATGTTGGAATCAGCACTCGTGTTCGTTCTCGGTACCCGATTATAATCAATAGCGCCATCAAGTCGTGGCGAAACATCGCGGCGCGACGACGGTGAAATGGAGACATTCGAGGCAATTAATTCGACGAGACAATGGAGCAGTCCAACTTCTCACGATACGACATACGGTGCGACGCGCGATGCAATCGTGCACGGTCCTGACTATCTGCTATAATGGTATCGTGTACCGCGGAAGGGGAGGGGGGTGTATGACACTCACACGCTTGTAAATTCGCTGCACGTCCTCCATCACCTGATTGAGGCGACCCACGAGGTGGGTGCTGTAGACCTCGGACAGGGCGGCATGATCCCTGCTGAGGGACTTGGTCTCATTCACGAGCTGCTGCCAGCAGGCGTAGCTGGAGAACATGGGCCATTGTTCCCGCCTGCGGAAAACGATCGATAAGAGGCGATGTTGAATCGGCAGCGGATATGCGTGTCCCGCGCGCGCGTCTACATCGACGTAATTACACGGCAATTAAATCGGTCGCTAACGAGCCGATTTAAAGCGCTCGCGCTCGCGTCGCTCGGTCGTCTTGCAGCCCAAACGCATATCGTTCCGCCTTTACATTTGTACACACGTAATAGCGATTGTCCCACTTGCTCATTCATGCATGCAAAATTCACTATATGTATATCTTTACAATTTAGATTTAAATTAAACGACGTTTTATAATGCTAAGCAAGGTGCCTAAAATTGCCTTAGTTTTACAAATCTAAAATTGATTAGATATAGTAAACGATTCCTGGCCGTATTAGACACATATTTTTTCTACAATTTATTTCCCATGATCCCATGGAATTATATCCCATGAATCAGATTTATTTTATAATTTATCTATCATTGTTTTTTTATCTAATCACAATTTGAATTAAGATATAAAGAAAATAATCTCTATAAAATGTATAAGCTTGCCTTAATTCATTTGTCATTCACAATATCTATGAGAAAGTATGAATTTGTTAACTATTGCGAGACGACAGCAAGAAAAGCACACGTGTTTTCCGTTTCTACTCGTATTATAGAAATTCCGTTTTATTTGTTTATTTGTAGTAAATTTTAATTTATACATATAAACATTTTAAATTAAACATTACATAATGTAGAATCAGGGATCTAATAGTCAACAACTTAACAAAATATAAAGAAAACATATTATATACCTTTTTATTTTATAGAAATGAATAAATATTTGACGAATACTAACAAAACTATTTTTATTCATTAAGAATGTTCACAACAGACAAAAGAGAAGCTATCCCTTTTTTACTTTAGACTTTTTTACTTTTTTACTTTACTTTAGATATAAAATAAAAATAGTTGTTATTTTCGACTACTCGAAATGAATCTATCAAAAAATCGATGCGTTTAATAATATAACGAAAGACTGTACATTTGGAAATTTCTTAAAAATTGAAAAATTTTTAGATAGAGAGAAATTTTTGCATTAATTATATACCTATATTTATATACATATATTATACCTATATTTATATACATATATTATACCTATATTTATATGTATATTATATACCTTTACATTTTATATCAATAAGATATATCTGTAAAAATTTGAATGCATTGCGAAGCAAAGCCCATTTTTCCGATAAACAAATAATATTTTATTATTTTAGTTCAACAATAAAAAGTGATTTCCACACAAAAATAAATCTATCAAAAAATCCGCGTGTCTAATAATATAGCCAGAAATTGTAGATCGAGTGCCTGAAATTTTTTCGATTTACAAACAGACCTTTTGTACCTTTTTTTGTACAAATAACAAAAACGTGGTTATAATCCTCAATATGCATTACGTAGAAAATTATTTTATTATAAACGTTTGCGAACGATACTTTTAAAGCCACAAGTGGGCCATCTAAAAAAAAGGTTATCCGGTTATCGACCACAAAACCTACTTTACGATAATTATAATTTCTTGGGGAAAGGGTAAACGAATGTGACGATGTAACCCCGGATGCGTCTTCGCAAAGAAGCGAAACTATCGATTCGCGATATCTCCCAGAGCGAAATGAGGGAGACGCGCAAGAGGGAAACGATGAGAGTGTGTCGTCGTGGTTACGGATTACGTTTTATCCGTGTGTATCCCGTGTACGTACCACGAGTGTACACTGTGCGCACGAGTGAGGCGTCCCTTTTGTGGATGCTGAATACGGCGCACAAAAGGGGCGCCCCGCACGTTCACAGGGTTGAATGACGAGGAGGAACTGGGGCATGTCGCAAATGCGGCGCGCCAGCAGATGCTGTGCACGCGCGTGTAGGACGCGGGAAAAATGCGAAGCCGTCCACTTTTCTGTCGTTTCGCCCATCCGTCCGTCCGTCCGTCGCAAAAGTGGAGCGCGGAAAATGTCAATCGCGTCAATACCACACGTGGAATAAATACGAGAAATACAAATCGTCACGAGATATGCGACAGCTGTATAATTCATAAGTCTAACAACGATGTTTATTTATTAATCATTAATTATGTTATGACGTTATTAACAATGCAATGAAATTGCTGTTATTGTGATAACATTAACAATGAAATAGTTCCATAATATCGAGATGATTTTGCATGCAAACAAAAGTCTTTCTCGAAAGGAAAATTCAACAAAGAACAACAAAGTAATTAGTGTTTAATTTTCATACAATGACAGTATAAGAAAAAGTATTTGCGGTATATGAAAATTGCTTTCTAAATTGTTATTGTACAGCCTTGGCCATAAGTATAAAGTACCTGTACAAATTAACGTAAACGTTTTATTTAATAAAAAAACAATTTTATTGAAAAATAATATTAATTCTTATAACCATTTTAATATTTTCTTGGTTTTCTTTAACTTTTATTACCTTTTTTTTTTCAAGAAAATAGAATAAATTGAGAATGCTTTATACTTATGGCCCAAGACTGTAGAAAAATCATTTTACTATTATAAATCAAATATTAAAAACATGACCAGGCTGCAGAATATTATTTCAATGTTATAAATCAAATATCTAAACTGATTTTAATATCGCAAATAGACTGTCAAACATAATCTATTTATCCTAGTCGTGCTACTTTTAAATATTGATTTCTATCTTCTCCATATATTAATGATCCAATATTGACTCTTTAAGGAGAAAAAGAAACATAATTTCTTGAAAATGTACTTAAAATATTTAAGCTGATTTATAGCTGATTTTAGTTTAGAGACATTCTACGATAAATATTTAAGGTATCTGGATCAATCTCAGCGCACCAATAAATTATGCATTTCATGATCGAAATGTGTAATCATGCATGATCAAGGTCTACAGCACAAATATATAATCGCATATTTAATCAAAATTTACGTAATGTAATCGTGAAACAATTCGCGTTGCGCAACGTGATGTAATGTAATAGCGCAAATGTATAATGTCGTGTTATATGGATGCGTCAATTGCGTCGTTTCAATTGCATCGTGCAACACGTGGTGCACGCGCCTGAATTACAGCGAATTAATTAACGCGTGCTGCGTCTTCATTAATCATTTAGCATCGCAATCCGCGGCAAAATTAATTTTTCTCATTGTTTTTTTGCCACATTCCGCTTTTTATAAAATTATCCAATTAACAAATCTCTGGCGTCATAATTTAATTCTATCTATAAAAAAAGTAGACGTAAACATTTAAAATAATTACTGCTCGTTTTAACTCTTCTGCTAAGCAGCTAATTTTCTTACGATTAAAGAGCCACCGCAAAATTAAATGTTTTTTCGTCCGTTTTTAACCTTGCAGCCTCGCACGCTTCGATCGATGTATACATATATCGACTGATTAATGTGATGATACAAACATCAGATAAAACAGATCAGTGTGCGTTTAATTATTTTTTTATTACGATTGGTTTCTGCACTTAAATCCAGAAAATCTAAATTAAAAAAAGAATTAATCATATTAAAGAATCACTGAGCACTCACTAATGTTCTCTGTTCTCTCTGCTAAACGCATATATTTTTTCCAATGACAAGTGAGGTTATTAAGTGAGGTTACTATCATGTATCTTTTTCTTGATGTACATATATATACAGGGTATCTCGGATTAATGTTTGTGGAGGATCTTTTACTCGAGAATTATCCCGTCGCATATCCTATTCATATGATTTTTTTACTTACTATCATAACAATGTAAACCATCTATTGGATAAATATTACAGATACAGATGAAGTATGTTAAAAGACATTTTTTATATATTTACATTATATTTATATTATATTAATGTTATAATTAACTATATTTCTTTATATTATTGTTATAACTAGTCATTCATTTTAGTAGACATTTATATATTACATTATAGATAGTTATAACTGATTATTTATTTTAGTAGAAAGATGAAAGGTCAGATCTATATTGCCTTCTTTATCTATATCTTTCAGTGGGTTACACAATTTCTGTTATAAGCCCAGTAAAAAAAACACGAGAATGGGATAATATGCGACGGAGCAATTCTCCTCAAGTAAAACATTCTCCGCGAACAAGTATTAATCCGAGTGTTATAACACTACAAAATGCGTGATATCGTTATAAAATTGACTTTTTAAAAAAAAGTAAAAAGGATGTCAAGTGTAAGCGCGCTCCTAGAAAAAAAACTTGTATCCAAATTAAATATAATAATTTTTAAAAAGGATAAAATCTAAGTGACATCTCTTTTTGTACTTATACTTTGATGTTAACTAACTTTACTTTAGTGTATGTATATTACTATTACTTAAAAGAATTATAAAAAAATTGATATCAGTAAATGGCGTCAAATTAAGTAAAAATTATGTATGGTACCTTATTATTCAATTACTATTACTTGTATAAAAGATTTTATATCAGTAAATGGCGCCAAGTTAAAAAAAAATATCTTATTCAACCCATGTAATGTGTACCTATATTGTTTGTATAAAATATTTGTTGTCAATAATTGATGTCAAATTGCACTCTCATAAAATAATTACGTTACAACCCAAGTTATATGTATGTATAATACAAAATGAAAAAATTAAATCTTAATAAAATAATTTTTATGTAAAAACACTTGGCGCTTTTTATTTTATTTAATTTTCTGATTAAATTTATTACTTTAAAATTGTTTATTTATTATTGTTTTTCTTACTAGGTCTAGCAGCGCAAAGTGTTTTTACATAAAAATTATTTTATTAAGATTTAATTTTTTCATTTTGAATTGTATATACATATCACTTGGGTTGTAACGTAATCATTTTATGAAAGTATAATTTGACACCAATTATTGACAACAAATGTTTTATACAAATAAATATTAACCTTGACATGTGTGTGGAGAATAATATATTTCATTTGAGATTTTATAATGCTGAAAATGGCTCGAATTGGCTGACAATGAGCCGAAATATCTATCCGTCTATATATCCATGTATTTAAAAGTATTATTACAAATTGATTTTTGCGCACTAACAAGAGAACACACGGAAGTGTCCCCCTCCGATTTAAATGAGCGTTGGATATGTTAAAATACAAACAAAAATAAGATAGTTACAATTTTTTATTGTAAACTTATTGTTAGTAAAAGTCGGGCGCCAAATTCATGTAGGTGAATTAGCGCATAAACGAGTACAGATTGTGTGCGTACAAAAGCGTTTATAATTATTTCTCGAAAATGATACTTCTGAAAATAACTTTATCACACATGGTTGAATTTATCTTAAAATAATCTTTAATTTGGTTTAAAAAATTCGAAAAATTAAAAAAAAAATGTTTGATTGTGAGGGTAAACAAAAAAATAATTAATAAGAAAATTAGTTGAAATTATAATTATAAAGTATTCTTAAAGCCATTTAACTTTGGTTCAAACATTTTTTTCTATCTCTCGTAGTTTTGATGATATTCGCATTGAAATAGAAAAACCGATTTTTTTCTAAGGAATGTTTTACCCCCTTAACGTGCGACTCAGCACGTATAAAAAAATTGTCAGTATCTTATTTTTGTCTATATTTTAACATATCCAAAGTTCATTTAAATCGGAGGGGGACACTTCCGTGTATTCCCTTGTAAGTACCGCGCTTGACTCTCATTAGCCTCTTTTGTCCTTAATTTAATAATTAGATTACTGTGATGCAAATGCAAATTCGTGTAATTATCTTATGTATTTGCAATTGTTAATGTCTCCAAAATGATAAAATTGTATATCTTACACAATACATTCCTTTTCGTGATTTATGCATTCTTTCTTTTCTAATCTAAATGTCCTCTTCGCTAAAGACAATGTAAATAGGCACATTCAAAATTGGAAATAAAATTAATAGACACAATAAATGTACTTATCGTACTTCTGTTTCTGCTCCTTATGCCTCAACTGTATGCTCCTGGCCATCTTGTCGAGGGACTTGCTGTAATCCAGCTCCAGTTCCGCCCTTTTGCGGAAGAAATCCTGGAGCTCGGCCACGAGGGCGACTTGCGCCTCCATCCTCACGTCGAGACATCTCAGCTGCTCGTTCAGCTGTAGCCGTATATCTGCAAGCAGAGAAAAGGGGGAAACCCCGTCAGTGCTCGCGAATCCTGATCACGCGTTTTGGGTGTCGCACGAAATACACGAAGACCTGTAAAGTAATCCCCGGAAATTGATCGCCGCCGAAGCTTGCGAGTCTTCTAGCAAATAAATTTTGGTCTTCTCAAAGTCGAGACCGATATCGATCCGCTGCTACCTCGAAGGTCATAAATTTACGGGGACTAAGAGGAAAGGACTTCCGCCACGAGTTCTTTCAAAGTCTTCAGGATCGTTTTCGAAACCGATATTCATACTGAACAAAAAGTGTTTGGTATTCATAACTATAAATGAATGCTAAAATAATTATGACTAAGAGCTCCATTTTTTATATATAATTATTATTGTTAATATTAATACATATTAATACTAACAACTTTATATTTATAATTTTACCAATTGTACTATAAATTAAATCGCAATAACTTACTAGAAATAGTGGTAATAACTATAAAATAGTTTATTCAAGTATGTACATTAATTCTACATATAAAAAATTTGTATAGTTATCACCCGTATTATCACCATTATGTCTTTTTTTCTAAATGTAAATATAACTATTTTTTTCTCAACCTTCGTTTACCATTTAAATAATAATTTAAATTAAAATAATTAAAAAATGTGCAAAAGAAAAAAATAAAAACAATCACTTTCATGACAGTTGCATGAATGCATATCATAATTGTAATGATCATGATGCAGGTAAAGCAAAATATAATTTGCATAATTAAAACCACTAAAAATAATATAGTTGGCATAAAAATGACTACAAATTATAATTAAATTATGATAATTGCAACCATTTTTTTCTTTCAGTACAATTTTTTTATCTCTTTCGCAATCGCTCGAAAAATCGATGATACGAATCCGTATCCATTAAGTCTTAACAAACATTATTAACTTGTAGATGCTATCTTATTGTTAGAAAATTAACTGTATAATTAAATCACTTTAAGATATAGATTTTGATCGAATTTCTTTATTCAGTTTTTAGCGCCGTCTACGGCGATCCTCAACATCGAAGTCATTTTATTCTCGCATCGATAACAATGGCAAAGAGGCGTATGCTGCGTGGAATAATAATGTCTCGGGGATGACGGGTGTCGTGAGGAAGGACTTTGACACGATCGTGTCAGAGACTTCCGAGACTCTCTCTCTCTATCTCTCTCTCTCCCCCCCTTTCTCTTTCCCCCTTAGTAATCCGTATTCCATTAATGTTATCCGCGAGACAATGACGAGAAGGAGGAACGATGTCTCGGCTTCTCAAGACGACTAAAGCTAAAAATAAACGATCGTACGCGACGCGAAACGATCTATCGTTTTGTATCTTTGCCGAGACGGGAAAAGGGAGAGAAAGAGATGCTCATACTCGCGCTCGCGCGTACCGCGTGATTTATTGTCGCGGCCGTATCTCGTTTCCGTTCCGAAACTTCCTTCGACTCCGATAATAAACGGCGCGAAGTGACCGCGGTCGAATACATTGTTCACATAATCCATCGTCGGCGCGAGACTAGAAATAATTTTCATTTCTCTCGTTCTTCATGCACTCAGCGCAGTTACAATCAGAACAAATGGAGTCTCTCTCTATCAGTCTCAAAAATCTTAGAAAATAGTCCCCCTCAGAAATCTCTTTAATTTAGCCAGAAAAAAACATTCGAGGACTTCAAGTTCTTTTAAGATTTCCCCAGATAGTTCTGGCGCTCTGTCCGATTGAGAGATTGAATCTATACTTCAATTCCCTCAAGTTTTCGGAGAAATGATTCTGACTATTACCGCGCTTACATCGCTCGATCTAATTTATAATATTAAGCTTGACGGATGCTCCCGAAGCGGAAATACCATTTCGCCGCGTATCCGCCGTCGCGTAAGCGTCAATCAATCAACGTAATTGGACGATGGTTGGGAGGGCGCGGGTGCTCCCAGAGCTGCTGGACGGTGGTTTAAGGCGCTCTTTCTTTCATCGAACCGAGCAATGATTTGAACAAATCGTTAAAAGAAGAGAAAGGGAGAGAGGGAGAAAAAAAGGTCCGGCGATATGTGAGCGAATGTGTGAGCGGCGCACTTCGAATCGAAATGGGCGTTTCTGTTTATGACAGATCAAGAACGTGTAAATGGTTCCAACGTCGACGTCGACGTTCGTCTCGTGTTTTGCGGAATATCGTTGATTACCCCGAAAAAGAAAAAAAGGGAACGGAGAGGCCTGGGAGAAACGTCATTCTCGACCACATGTCAGTCCGTTCCACGTGTTACCAATTATCGGGGGCTCTAAACGGGATTGGTTCATCGGCAGCTCAGTCTCAAAACTCACGAATGGACCATTTATGAGCGCGACGGCGGCGTCCGACGATAAATGTTAATTCCGGGAAATATCCCAGCGTGGATGAAAAAGTACGCCGCGGTCTTTTTTTTTTTGCCGTCATCACGGCCCACATCTTAATCGTCACATGTGGCCAATTAGGTAGACTAAAACGTAAGGAAAATTTATTTAAACTGAGTATTTACTGAAATCTTATGAAAAAGAGAATTTCCCGAATTTTTCAGGCACTTTTATTCGAGATTCTTGATAAGATTAGATAAATTTTTAATGCAACTTTGAAATAAATTGGAATACAAGCAACGCAAAAGGTATTTCTACTAATTTATACTTAACTAATTTATATTTAAGGTACACATGTACCTTATAAATTAGTAGAAGACAGTGATTCTACAAAACATTATATAAATCTCGAATAGAATAAGAACCGCGAATTTATAGGATATAATATGGAAATGGACTCAATATATATAAAGCATATAATATGTATAAAGTATCAATGAACTTCTTTATTATTACGTATTGTTCTGACTTCTTTTATAAAATTTCACGAGATGCACGAGAGAGATGTGTATGGATATTAGATAATATGTTTGTCATATTTATTTTTCAGATTTATTTACTAACTGAATGTCGATTTGCAACATTTTGCAATCAAGAAAAAATGATCAAAGGGCTAATGTTTCCAGAGACAGAATTCAAATTTAATAAGTAAAAAAACTTCAAAAATTTTCCTGAATATCGGTAAATAAAATTCCATGAAAATCATTGATTTTCAAGGATAAAAAAAAATTCTCTAAAAATTTCAGATTTCCTAGATTTTTTTAGGTAATTAACACTTTGTTAAACTTTAATAAGAAAGAATCGAAAGTCAATCTAAATGTAATTTTAAATTTAATTAAAAGATTATTTGTTTTCTTTCTGTTTCTATTACATTTATAGAGATACCAGTCTGATAACTTAAAGAAGAAATTCTTAATTAAAATTATTAGGAGTACAATTATATATATATTTAGTTAATATTAACAACTTACATCAAAAATATAATAAATTGGTGTTTGAATTAAAGAAATAAGATAAAATAATTATGTTCTGTTTATCAATATTCCATATTACTTGGTTTTGTGCCTTTATTCTGTAAAATTTCTCATATTTGTTTAACGCGATCTTTCTAATTTTAACGGAGCACTGTAAATTAAAGAGACCGAGGAGTGAAGAGGAGACACGTCAATCTTGACTTGACTGTCTCGTTTGTATAATTCTAAAGGGAGAATCGATACCAAAGAGAGGCTTTCTGATAATCACTGCCTATCATTTATTCCAAATTTAACATTATACCTCCGCTATCATCGTTATATAAATTTTACAAATTGTTTGTATAATTTAAATAATTTTAATTACTAAAATATTATAATTAATATTACAATAGTAATACTGAAGAAAATTATGTTCAGAAAATAATTGCCAATCAGATTTATAATAAAATGATAAAATTATTATACATTATTACACATTATTATATAAAATAATATAAAAATAACTTTCTTATAAACCAGTTTGACATTTATAATTAATTATTTTGCTTTTATCTATTTTTTCTCATCTCTTTCGATTATTATTAATGGAAAAAGTTTCACTCGGTTTGTCTGATATCCCGAGAGAACAACGCGGGCAGAGGGTTTTCCAAGGGCGAGTTTCGATGCACTCTCGGACGGGAGGGAGGCCCTATCGATTTCCTTACTTCCGCGCGCGTGATTCATCCTTCCCGAAAGGACGCGGAGCGATCTTTGACCCCGAAACGCGGACGAGACGCAGACATGCAACCGACACACGGAGGTAAATAAACGCATTCTCGAATGCACACAACCGGGGCTTCTCTATACAGGGCACCCCAAAACGACAGGTCTCATTGCTTTTCTGTGGATTCAAAAATCTAAACTCAAAGTCTATACTTTTTTGAAAAAAAAATATAGCAAGTCATTTCTAAAATAATTGACGAAAACGAGAACCTGGCAAATTCCCTTCTTCAGAAAAGGAAACAGATGGCAGAATTGTATCTTGCAATTAATTTCGAGCAAATCTCGAAAGAATTCTAATTTGAAGTTTATAAATTATACGAAAGTGTACAAATGATTAAAAAAATGGAAAGCTACGGACGATAATAATAAAAATGTCGCCTGTATATAAATCGATCAAAGAAAGTGCAGTCGGAAAAATACAAATGGAAAAATATTCGACGTTTCTGGGACACCCTATATGCGCACCCCCGCTGAGTTAGTCATCTAACGAGCGAGAGGTCGATGTATGCCGCGCATCATCGTGGTCGGATGCATCGACTGACAAACCACTAACCAATGAGGGGAGGATAACAACGAATCGCCCGAACAACCGATCAACAACGTCAATCACAAGAGGAAGGGAAAAGGTACCGCGCGACGCGACGCGACGCGCGCTCTCGTTGTACTTTGAAGACGGAGAATTGCGGCTTACTGATGATTAACTAGACCGCGATAGGCACTATTAGCGAAATAGGCTATACGATGCAGCAGGCCGTTCGTTCCCATTCAATCCCGATCTCTTCGAATGATCGATTATGATTATAGTGTCAGTTACAATTAATGTATACGGGACGTATGATGACACAAAATTCCAATT